AGCTGTGTCCCCCACACGCCCCACAGGAGTCAAACCTGGGGCCTCGGGGGCGAGTCCTGGGAGCGTGTTGGTGGGGACATCCTGCTGGTGGCTCTGTGCCCTCTGGCCTCGGCTCACCGTCACGGCCCAGACGGTGACTGGTGGGTCCGGTCTGGCCAGGGCCCCGGCCAGGCCCCTGTGGCAGCTGAAAACAAGCCGGAGGCGATGGTGCCCCTGAGCCCAGAACAGGGGGACGGGGGGGGGGGGGCAGGGCTGCTCCCGTCCCGTTAGCGTCACGCCTTCCCCTCCGTGACCGGGACTGGTGGGTGAGAGGGCTGTGATACATTGTTACCGTTTCTTTTTTAATTCGTGTGTTGATTTTACCTTATTTTTAAAAAATATGTTTTTATTGATGTCAGAGAAGAAGGGAGAGATAGAAACATCCATGATGAGAGAGAACCATGGACCGGCTGCCTCCTGCACGCCCCCCACTGGGGATGGAGCCTGGGATCCAGGCCTGTGCCCTGAGTGGGAACCGAACAGACACGCCAGCCAGTGGGCACGCCGTGGTCCGGCCGCTCTTTATTCCTCGTTCCGGGGGCCCCGGCTGCTATGGCCGTGAGGGCCCCGAGCCAGGCCCCGCCGTGACCTCGGGCCGCTGCTCCCCGAGCACGTGGCCATGTGCCAGGCCCTGGGCTCAGCCCCCAAGCCACCCCCCGGGCTGCCCGCGGTGCGGGCCTGGACCCCCTGCCCCGGACCTGCGCTCCCGCCCTCCCGCGCCCCCTCCCGCCCCCTCCCCGCTCCCCCTCCAGCGTCCCCTCCTGCTCCCCCTCCTGCGCCCCCTCCCCGCGCCCTACTCTGCACCTCGCGCCTCGCAGGGGCCTCCCCTGACACGCCCCGTCTGTCTGTCTGTCCGTCCGCCCGCGCAGCCTGTTCGTGTTCAGCGAGTTCCACCTGCTGAAGACGCTGCTGCTGTGGGTGTACCTGCAGGTGACCCCGCGGCTGCTGGCCTTCCCCACGCTCGAGGCCGTGCTGGCCTTCTTCAGCAGGTGAGGGCGGCGGGCGGCGGGGAGGGCAGGGGTGAGGGCGGCGGGGCGGTGCTGGCCTTCTTCAGCAGGTGAGGGCGGCGGGCGGGGAGGGCGGGGAGGGCGCCTCTGTGCTCAGGGTACGGGGGTGGGGGGGGGCGGAGGGGCGGTGCTGGCCTTCTTTAGCAGGTGAGGGCAAGGGCGGGCGGGGAGGGCAAGGGCGGGGAGGGCAGGGCGGGCGGGGAGGGCGCCTCTGTGCTCAGGGTACGGGGGGGGGGGGGGGCGGAGGGGCGGTGCTGGCCTTCTTCAGCAGGTGAGGGCGGCAGGGCAGGGAGGGCAGGGGGGAGGGGAAGGGGGAGGGCGTGCAGGCGCCTCTGTGCTCAGGGCACTGGGGGGGCGGTGACGGTGTTTCCACAGTGCCCAGTGTGGGCGGGACGCCGGAGGCCGGGCCCACGGTTCCCTGAGGAAGATTGGCGAGTGGGTGTGGGGACAGCCACGTGATCTCGGGCTCTGAGAACTCCTGTCCATGAGGGAAGAGGCCTCCTCCTGAGGGGAGAGGCGCCCCACACGCCCCTCCCCACCCTGACGCGCCCGTCAGACCTCACGTACGGAGGGAGAGCAAGCCTGAAGCAGGAAAGGCTAATGTGCAAACCGACCGGCCGCTATGCTGCACCCTGACCACCAGGGGGCAGTCGCTCCACGCGGGTCAGGGCGCTCCCATGGGGGAGGCCGCTCCGCGGAAAGCCGGCTCTCGGCCGGCGAGCAGTGACCGCCGCCTCGGCAGCCGCTCAGGGGCAGGGAGCAGGCGGGCGGACATCCCGAGGGGCAGGCGGGGCCGAGGCCCCCCCATCTGTGCACCGGGCTCCGGTTACAGCACAAGAGCACCATCGGCGATGCTTCCTGAGCAGGGGTTCTGCCGGCGTCCACCTGTCACCCGTTCAGCCGGCACCTCCTCGGCTGGTGTGTCATCCCGTTCTCCAGACGGGGAAACTGAGGGAGAGGGGTCAGACGGCACCGTAAGGGATGGAGTCTGCCCGGCACCCAGAGCCGCCGAGGCCCCAAATGCTTTGCTCCCTCCCGACCCTGGGGGCCGGCTCCTCTCTGAGCGGGTCTGGCCGGCTTGGGCAGCTGTGGCGGCTCCGGGGCTCCGGCTCGATGTCCAGAGGCCCCGAGGTGCCTCCCGGGGGAGGGAGGTTAGGGAATCGCCACGTCCCCTCCCTGCCCCCGCCCCCGGCCCGGGAGAGGCGAGCTGGGCAGCCGGGACCGCGCCCGGGGACCGGGGACCAGGGCGGTGAGCGTGGCCTCGGAGGTCAGGGCTCCCCGTGTCCCGTGGCCGCTGTGGCACGGGGGAAGGTGCCCGCGTCCCGGCGGCTGGGAGCCAGGCCGGCCCAGCGTGGGGCTTTTCCCGGAACCCCTGGCGCCGGGGCCCAGAGCCGCCGTGTCCGCTGAGTCGGCCGTGTTGTATGGGGAGCCGCCTCGGGGCCGAAGGATGCTCAGGTCCTGAGTCCAGTGCTCGTTTGTTTGTTCGTTTGATTGTTTTTTAATCCTCCCATGGACCTTTTCGGGGAGAGAGCGGGAGAGAGAGGGACAGACAGAGAGAAACATCCATGAGGGAAACATCGATGAACCCAAACGGCTGCCCGGGCCGCCCGAGGGCCCCCGCCGGGCAGGGAGCCCAGCGTCTCGGGGGAGGCCCAGGCCCAGGACGGGCGGGGCGCGTGTCTCCTGATTGATGAACGGCATCTGCAGATGTGGCCGCCGTGCCGTCATGGCACGGAGCATCCTGGCCTAACCGCGCTGCTGATGTCCTTTCCAGAACATTCCTTTAAAAACACCCATGAGTCACGGCCACGAGGCCCCGCCAAGGGCTCCCTCCCCAGTGGCTCCGCCAGGGAGGCCGTGCCCCGGGCAGGGCCGCTCATGCCTGACCCCTGACCTCGCCTCCACGTCCCTCCCGGCCGCCCGGCACTGCCCGCCCATCAGCGCGTCCCGGGCTGAGAGTCCCTCCAGGGTCCCTGAGCATCCGTTCCTGCTCGTCCTGGGCCTGGGGCTCCCTCGTCGCTCCTCAGCGTCCCACGTCCCCGGGCAGCCCGGGCGCGGCGGTGGCCGGAGCAGAGGGAGCAGAGGGCGGGGAGCGGGGAGGCCGGGTGCGGAGACGGGGTTCCCGGTTCCCGGGTCCCCGGCCCCTCTGCCTGGGGCAGCAGCAGGGCCTCCTGGCCTTTGTTGTCGGACGACCTCGGATTGCATCTCAGCAGGCTGACCCCACAGGTAACCATGGCAACGGCGGGCAGGACCCCGAGCGTGGGAGAGTCAGCACGGCAGAGCCCGGTCCGTGTGGACGTGTGAGCATGCGTGTGCACGTGTGTGAGCACCAGGGCCGGAGCCATGGCGTTCCTGGGAGGCACACTGGCGTGGCGGGACGGCGGGGGGGACGGGGCGGGCGTGGACCACGGCTCCGGCTCCTGTGCCGGCGGCCGGGCCGGGCTCGGAGCCGACAGACAGACAGACCCGCGTCCCCCTCCGCGGGGTCCACAGGCCAGGCCGAGGCCCGCGGCACCTGCGGCGGGGACGGCGTGCGAGGGGGCGGCCGGGCCCTGGTTCACCCGACGTCCTGGTGGGGCAGCTCGGGGCGGAGCCGTCTGCGGCTCCCGGGAGGCTGGTCCAGAGAAGTCGGTGCTGATGCCTAAGGGGCCTTTTCACCAACAGCTCAGCGCCAGGGAGGCCGTGCCGCCTCTGACCCGCCCGCCGCCCGCCGCGCCCCTCCACGTGACACGGAGACAGGGATGGAGCAGCGCCTCCCTCAGAGGCCTGGGCGGGTCCCGCGGTGCCCACGGCCCTCGGCAGGGCACACTGCCCGCCGGGTGGTGGGGCTCTGAGTCCAGGGAGTTGGCCGTGTAAGCCCCATTTTTCCCTTTTCTTTAAAATGTTGCTTCTTGTGTACGGTGACCAGATCGTCCTGCTTTGGGCGGGACAGTCCTGATTTCTAACAGTTTTCCCTGCGTCCCGCGGTGTTTTAAAAAAAAAGTTCCGATTTTCGGGAAGATTGAAAAGATTGGAAAGATTAAAAAAATCGGGACTTTTTAAAAACGCCTCGGGACGCGGGGAAAATTGTTAGAAATCGGTACTGTCCCGCCAAAAGCAGGACGATCTGGTCACCATATATTTGTGGGGCACAGCTACAGCGGCTGGACAGGGTCAAGCCCCGGACAGACGAGAGGGCACAGTCCCCTCGGGCCACGCACAAGGCCTGGCTGGAGGGAGAGCCTCCCAGCACCGGGACAGCCACCGGCTGTGGTTGTAAGCGTGAACCTGTGTCCGAACACTGGCCCCGGGCCTGGTGTAGAGGCTGCGGTAAACAGGGCTGGGTCAGTGCAGGAAGTGGAGAGGGATGGGAACCCACTGAAACATCCTGCCCACCCTCACTGTGCCGTGTGGCATCGGGTGGTCCGGGTGGTCCGGGTGCTGCTGGGTCCCCGTCAGGGAGCAGCGTCCGGCCGAGTCCCAGCGCTCCTCCTCTCCTCTGCCTTTTCCCAATCCTTCCCCGCCCCCACGCGGGGTCACCCCTGGCTGAGCTGGGGGCACATAAGGCGCCCGAGGCTGAGTGAGCTGCTGAGACCCCCTCTGTCTGTCCCGGAGCCTGGAGGCTCGAGTAGGAAACTGAGTCTCAGAATCCTCGTCGGTCCCTTAGCCAGTACTTGCTGGGTCCTACTAGGCACCGGCTCAGCAGGAGGCGGAGAGGGGACACGGCCATCTGTCCGGCAGTCAGGGCTGGTGGCCTCACAGGGTTCTCTCCTCTCCCTCCTCCCCCTGCTCACCCCAAGAGCTGGCACCGCCCGCCCGGCTGGGGAGCCGCTGGGCTCAGTGAGGCTCTCCTCCCCCCATCGGCTCTGGTTGCAGCTCTGAGGCCTCTGCTTGTCCCCAGCTCCCCCAAGAAGCCCTGCTTCCTGGACCAGGACGTGGAGTGCGGCTTTGCAGAGATCTTCCTCTGCCTGCGCCTGCACGGCATCATCCGAGGTGAGCCCGTGTGTGTGTGGGGGGGGCCTCTAACCACTGAGCCACACGGGAGGGAGCTGTGCCCTAACCACTGAGCAACCGGCCAAGTTTCTGAGGACATGGAGTGTGTCCGTGGGAGGCTGTTGGGGACCTGCCCCGCCTGATGGTTCCCAAGGTGTTCGCTGAGATCCCTCGTGGTCACTCCTGAGCCGCGTGAGGCTTTGGGAGAGTCGCTGCCGGGGCTCGGTTTACCTGTCTGTACAATGGTCACATGCAGAGCTTCCAGGAAACATGGAGACGGAGGGGAGGGGCTGCTGGACGTGAGCACAAGCTGCCGAGGCCTCCGAGGACACCCCCCACCCCCACCCCGAGCCCTGTCTCCTGGCCGCGGCCCCTGGGTGCCCGTTTCAGGGTTTGGGAGGAAACTGGGGCTGCGTGTGGTCCAGACTGGAGCTCCCAACCTCAGGCTCCCGGCCGGGGCGGCAGCGGGGCCTTGGCAGGGAGGGAGAGGGGAGTGTGTGGGCGGCCCAGCAGGCCACCCAGGGAGATCTCTGTGTCCGAAAGAGCTTTTGAGAACTTTTTATTTCTTTTCTTAAGTGTTTTCACTGATTTTTAGAGAGAGGAATGGGGAGAGAGAGAGAGGGATAGAAGCATCGATGAGAGAGAAACATCAATTGACTGCCTGCCCCACTGGGCGTCGAACCGGCAACCAGAGCCCGAGCTGACCAGGAGTCTAACAGGTGACCTCTCGGTTCCCGTGCCGGCCACGTCCCATGTCCACATAAAGCCACGCTCTCCCGGCAGGGACGGAGCCAGGCGGTGTGGCCCAGGTTGCTCTGAGACGCTCCGAAGGCCTCCCTCGCTCGGGCGGGATGGGGGCGCTTGGGGGTCCTGCTCGCCTGTGAGTCCGGGCCTTGGGGGGGGGGCGCTCCGTCTGACTCCCTCCGATTTCTCTGCAGACGGGTCGGCGGTCTCGTGAGCAGACGCCCTCACCCGCCCTCTGTCCCTCAGGCCAGGACCTGGACGTGCTGAGGCACCTGAACTTCTTCCCTGAGTCCTGGCTGATCCGGGTCACCGCCAACCACTACCACGCAGTGAGTCCTCCCCACCCGAGCCGAGGGTCCCAGGGTCGGTTCCGGTCGGGGGCATGTGCCTTGGTTGCGGGCACATCCCAGAAGGGGGTGTGCAGGAGGCAGCTGGTGGACGTTTCTCTCTCATGGATGTTTCTGACTCTAACCCTCTCCCTTCCTCTGTGTGTGTGTGTGTGTGTGTGTGTGTGTGTGTGTATTTTTTTTTTTTTTTTTTTTTTTAAGAATTTTTTTTAAAAGGCGACCAGGTTGCGGGTAACCTGTGTTTCCCTTGCAGATGGAGAGTGGGGGCGACATGGCTTTCGCAAAAGATCTCACCCACCAGGCGGTGAGGTTCGGGCTGCTGTTCTACAAGGTACTGGTGCCGGGCCGGGGGTGAGGCCGCCTCCGGGGCTGGGTCAGGGCCCTGCAGGATCCCGCTGACCGGGGAACGAGGCCCAGGGCCGTGCAGGAGCCCGCTGACCTCGGGGACAGAGCCCGCTGACCTCGGGACGAGGCCCAGGGCCCTGCAGGAGCCCGCTGACCGGGGGGACGAGGCCCAGGGCCGTGCAGGATCCCGCTGACCTCGGGACGAGGCCCAGGGCCCTGCAGGAGCCCACTGACCGGGGGGACGAGGCCCAGGGCCGTGCAGGAGCCTGCTGACCGCGGGGACGGAGCCCGCTGACCGGGGGGACGAGGCCCAGGGCAAAGGAGGAAGCTGGGGTCTCTCCGCACGCTCACACCCCTGGAAAGACCCTTCCTGAGACGGCCTGGGGGCCCTTCAGCATCTCCCCCCGGCTCCTCACCTCTCCCCACGGGCGGCGCTGTGCCGGCTCCTGGGGATGGGGCGCTTCTGGGCTTCCGTCCTAAAACTGGGAAAGCTGGGCAGCCTGGGTTCAGGCTCACCCCACCCCTCTCTCCCCCACACACACAGACCCTCTGCTCCGGGAGGGTCTGTGTTTAAGGTGTTGAGGGTGAACCTATTTTTTCTTTTTAAATCTATTTTTATTGACTTTCGGAGAGAGAGGAAGAGAGAGAGAAGCATCCACGATGAGAGAGAAACGCCCCTTGGCTGCCTCCTGCACGCCCCCTCCTGGGGGTCGAGCTGGAAACCTGGGCGTGTGTCCTGACCGGGCCTGACCCCTGACCTCCTGGTTCACAGGTCAGGGCTCCCCGGGCCGCGGCGCCGGGCTGTGCCCTGGCCTCCGGACGCTGCCCCCGCGTCACATGGGTCTCTGCCCTCAGGAGTTCTCGGCGTACTCGGAGATGATCGCCATCTACGGCTTCTTCTTCGCCATGCGGGGCGTCCGCAACAACAGCACCTCCTACAGCTTCTACATGCAGGTGCGGGCGGCGGCGGGCGGCCCCGAGACAGCCCGGGCCCCCCGAGACAGCCTGGGCCCCCCCCGAGACAGCCTGGCCCCCCGAGACAGCCCGGGCCCCCGAGACAGCCTGGTCCCCCGAGACAGCCTGGTCCCCCCAGACAGCCTGGGCCCCCGAGACAGCCCGGGCCCCCCCCGAGACAGCCTGGGCCCCCCGAGATAGCCTGGGCCCCCAGACAGCCTGGGCCCAGCCCGCCCACGTTAAACAGCGGGTCAGCTGGGCCCAGCCCGCCCACGTCAATAACAGCGGGTCAGCCGTTATCCATCGAGTCGGGGCTAATCCACTCAGTCAGGGCAGCTGACTCGGATGCGCTTGCTATTTTGCCCCGACCCAGGGAGCTCGCTATGGGGAGCGGGTGGAACAGGTGCAGCCCTCCGCCGAGTGCCTCTGGTCACGTGGCCGCGGGCCAAGCTGCAGGAGGGGGGCCTCGGAGGCAGCGGGTGGGGAGGGACGGAGGGGGCTAGGCTCCAGCTCCACGTGTGGGCTTGGTTCCTCTTCCTTGCCTGCACGGTGGGCGCTGGTTGAGGCGGCCACTGGCCTGTGTGGCAGCAGGAAGTGCCCACAGGGGACGAGCCCACAACCTGGCCTGGGCCCCGACGGGAATCAAACCGTGACCTTCTGGTTCCTGAGTTGGCATCAGCCACGGAGCCACGCCGGCGGGCACCACGTGGGTTTCTAAGTTCTGGCAAAGCGCCATGAGGACCTTCCGAGTCAGGGGGCTTGGCTTCCCGGGCTGGCCGAGCCCCAGCCCATCGGCCGGTGGCCTGCACGTGGCCAGGGCCCCCAGGCCAGCGGACTGGGCGGCGGGCGCCCGGGAAATGGATTCTGGGAAGTGCCCGCCGCTCCGCACGCGGCGGAGGAGGGCGATGGGGCGGGAGCCGGGTCCAGCGGCGGCCAGCGGCCGCTCCGCCTGAGGGACGGCTCTCCCTGCAGAGGATCCGGCCGGCGGACGTGGGGTTCCCCTCTGAGGTCTGCGAGCACGGCCTGGTCAGCCTGCGGCCCGAGCGCCTGGTCAGGTACGAGATCCGGGCGCAGGCGCTGGTGGGCGGCCGCTGGCAGCAGTTCGGGACCCGGCCCGTCCTGCAGAAGTTCCGCTTCGTCAGGCCCCACTGCAGGAGCCAGGTGCGTGGCCGCTTCTCCTCTCACTCCCTCCCTCTCTCTCTCTCTTATTTCCCTTTCTCTCTCTCCCTCCCTCCCCCACGTCTCTCTCTCTCTATCCCCCCCTCTCTCTCTATTCCCCCCTCTCTCTCCCTTTCTCTCTCTCTCTCTCTTTCTCTTATCTCCCTCCCTCTCTCTCTCTCTTTCTCTTATCTCCCTTTCTCTCTCTCTCTCCCTCCCTCCCCTGTCTCTCTCTCCATCCCCCCTCTCTCTCTATTCCCCCCTCTCTCTCCCTTTCTCTCTCTCTCTTTTATCCCCTCCCCGCCTCTCTCTCTCCCCCCTCTCTATTCCCCCCTATCTCTCCCTCTCTCTCTCTTATTTCCCTTTCTCTCTCTCTCTCCCTCCCTCTCTCTCTTTCTATCCCCCCTCTCTCTCTATTCCCCTCTCTCTCTCCCTTTCTCTCCCTTTCTCTCTCTCTCTCTCTCTCTCTCTCTCTCTCTCTCTCTCTCTCTCTCTCTTATCCCCCCCCCGCTCTCTCTCTCTCCCTCATGTATCTTCTTCTTTCTCCCTCTCTCTTCCCCCCATATCTCTATTTCCCTTTCTCTCTCTCTCTCTCTCTCTCTCTCTCTCTCTCTCTCTCTCTCATTTATCTCCCTCTCCCCCCATCTCTCTATTTCTCTCTTTAATCAGTTCCATTGTGGTATAAATCACTAATGGTGTTGTTTTAAAATATATATATATATTTGTATTAATTTCAGAGAGGAAGAGAGAGAGAGAAACATCAGTGATGAGAGAGAATCACGGATTGGTTGCCTCCTGCACACCCCACACTGAGGTCCAGCCCGCCACCCGGGCCTGTGCCCTGACCGGGGATTGAACCCTGACCTCCTGGTTCATAGGTTATTGCTCAACCCCTGAGCCACGCGGGCCGGGCGTAGACGTAGACATTTTAAGTGTATCTCCAAGGCCTTCGCTAGGGACTCCAACGAGCAGCCGGAGCTGAGGGCGTGCTCGGGCCCCGCCCACGGCCTCTGTCTGGCTTCGTCTTGCAGGTCTTGCAAATCCAGACTACGGGCAGCCCGATCTACGTGAGCTTTTCCTTCATCTTCCCGGCATCCTGACGGCTCCCGAGGCGCCTGCGATGTCCGCGCTCCCTCCTCTCTGCACGGAGAAAATAAAGACGTTGAAGGGACCTGGTATCGGCCACGTTCCTGGGAGCCGTGGTCTCTGTCTGCTCTTGGCTCAGCGGCGTGTGGCGTGTGAGCGACAGGAATGTGTGGCTCCCAGGCCTGGGGTCTGGAGTCCCAGGTCAGACGCTGGCAGACGGGGCGTGGCTTCTGGGGGTCCCCTCCGCTCATGCACAGCCAGTTCCCCCTGGTCCTCCTGTGGCCGGCTGGGCGGGGCCGGGCCAAGGCCCCTTGAGAAGGGCACTAACCCCATTTGTGAGGGCCCCACCTGGGTGAGAGCCACTTCTCCCAACGGCCGGACCCCGCTGCCACCCCTTTTGGGGTTGGGTTTCTCCATGTGGGATGGGGGGGGGGGGGTCATGGTCAGACCATAGCACCCCTGTTTGTGTGTCTGAGGGTGGGGAGCAGTGGAGACGTGAGTCCATTTGCCATCACTGGCCCCTAAGGCCCCGGGGCCCAGGCTGACCTTGCATTCTGGGATTCTTGGATGGGGTCCCAGCAGAAACACCCCCTCCTGCTGAGGGCGCCCCTCCCTCCCCACCCTACCCCCCCGGCTGTGGTCCTGGCAGCGTGGGCTCACAGGAGCCAGAGACGGGAAGTGGGGAGCAGCTATAGGTGCAGAGTGACTGACGTGCTGACCATTCTGCCACTTTATTTCTAAATTTGTTTTTAAATATTTAATTGAACTCAGAGAGGCAGGGAGAGGGAGAGAGAGGAACATCAATGATAGAGAGAATTGGGGACCGGCTGCCTCCTGCACGCCCCACACTGGGGATCGAGCCCACAATCCGGGCCTGTGCCCTGACCGGGAATCGAACCCTGACCTCCCGGTTCATAGGTCAATGCTCAGCCACTGAGCCATGTCGGCCAGGCCAGTGGTTGGCAAACTATGGCTCTCCAGCCACATGCGGCTCTTTGGCCCCTTAAGTTTTTAGCAAAGGCCAGCGTAGGAGGACCCTAATTAAGTTAATAACAATGTACCTACCTATATAGTGTAAGTTTAAAAAATTAGGCTCTCCAAAGAAATGTCAGTCGTCCTGTTGACATTTGGCTCTGGTGACTGATGAGTTTGCCGACCGCTGAGCCAGCCGTGCTGCCGCTGTAAAAGGAGCCCGGGGCTCGGAAAAGGCAGGTGAGAGCTTCCTTCCACTTTGCCGGTCGGTTTGGTTGCAGGTGGAACAAGGAGCCGCTGTTGAGTGGCGCAGAGCGAGCCACACGTGGTTATCATCACGTCCTGGCTGGGGGTCAGGAGGCCAGCAGGGTCTCAGCAGCCCCGCCAGGCAGCAGGCTGTGTCCCCTCCAAGAGCGGGCTGGGAGAGCGGTGGCAGGTCCTGTCTGCGGCCGTGTCCGTGTCCGTGTCCGTGTCCGTGTCCGTGGCCGTGGCCGAGGCCGAGGCCGAGGCCGAGGCTGAGGCCCGGCTGCTGACCGGTGTGGGGACAGCCGCCCAGGTCCTCGCGGCCGGGGGTGAGGGCCTGAGGATAGGGCTGCGTCCCCGGCCACCAGTTCCACAGCAGGGTCCCCTGCACCCCGAACACTGATCGACTTCCTTACCCAGGACAAAACACCATCCTCACCCTCACCCTCACCCTCACCCTCACCCTCACCCTCACCCTCACCCTCATCCCAGAACAAGCCTGTGGCTCCTCCTCGCCCTCTGGGGGTGAGCGGCCGGTGAGGACCCAGAAGTCCCAGCCTTCTCCACCAGGGGGCGGGCTCCGCCTCGAGAAGGGAGCCAGCGCTGCAGGGGCAGGAATTTGCCCCCCTGCTCAGCGGTTGGGAGGGAACCTGTGCACATTCCGGGCGCGGCTGGGTCACCCCGTGTCCACGGTCCTGATGCCACAGGTCTCTGAGCTCGGGGAGCATGAGAGAGGAGACAAACATTCTCGCGCTGACCTCACACCCTCCTCACGGGGGAGCTGCCTCAGACTGGAATGTAAAGCCAACAGCCGCGGCCCCAAGGCGGTGGCCGGCGTGCCAGCCCGCACGGCGTCTCACGTGCCACCCACACGGCTGCCAGGACTGCTGGGCGCAGACCGTCCCCCACCCCCACCCCCAGGGCAGGGAGAAGCCACGTGGGGTCACACCAGGGGAGCAGGCTCAGTTCACCCTCTCACCCTTTCTGCCAGCACTGCCGGTTACTATTTATCATCGTTGTTGTTGTTGTTGTTGTTATTATTATAGTTGGTTAACCCTCACAGGAGGATATTTTTCCCATTGCTTTGCAGAGGGAGTGGGAGGGAGTGGGGGAGAGAGAAAGGGGACGTGGGAGAGTCATCTCCGCCGGTTGCCTCCTGCAGACCCCCGACCCGGTTTGGGGGCAAACCAGAGGCCAGGCGCACGCCCTGGACCTGGAATCGAGCCAGACAGGGTGCAGATGGGAGGCAACCGATGGATGTGCCTCACATCGACGTTTCTCCATCTCCCTTCCCCTGAAATCAATAAAACTGTTTTAAAATAACAATTTCAGTTTAAAAAGCCCCTCAGCGGCCCCTCTCATTTCTCTCGGACAGAGCCTGAGTCCCGTGCCTGGCTTAGAGGCTCCTGTCCCTGTCCCTCTGCCTGTCTCCCCCCCCCCCCCCCATCCTGCCCACGGGACCTGCGGCCCACAGGTCTGTGGCGCTGCTGGGACGTGCCGGCTTCTCCCGCCGTGAGTCAGGCGCAGCTTTTGTTGCAAGGAGCCACGCCCTGGCTGGCCTCCCACGTCCAAAACAAACAGGCGGGGGGTGGCACGCGGGCACCAGAGTGAGGGGAGGAGGGCATTTCAGGACACGCTGGAGAGCGTCAGGAGAGCGGGCTGCCTGCTGTCCGGAGGGGAGATGGGAACCAGGCGGAGGCTGGGTGGGCAGAGGGCGGGCGCACGCCCCTGCGGACACCACCTGACAGCATCTACTATGCGCCAGCCCCCTGACAGCACCTACTATGCGCCAGCCCCCTGACAGCACCTACTATGCACCATCCCCCTGACAGCATCTACTATGCGCCGTCCCCCTGACAGCACCTACTATGCGCCGACCCCCTGACAGCACCTACTATGCACCGGCCCCCTGACAGCACCTACTATGCGCCATTCCCCTTGACAGCACCTACTATGCACTGGCCCCCTGACAGCACCTACTATGCGCCAGCTCCCTCCCCAGCTCGTGAGAGCCACAGAGGGATCATCCCGCCAACGAGGAGGCCGGAGCTCCGGGCCTGGAATGAGGGGCTCACAGGTGCGGTTAAGGGGGGCGGGGCTCAGGCCTGTCCGGCACCAGGAACAGCCCCCACAGCCTCCCCGGCCGGGGCGGAGGTCACAGCCGCGGCCGTTTGGTTCTCTGCACAGGCAGGTGTCCTCGGCCAGGTGTGGGCACTGTGCTCCCGCCAGGGGCCACGTGGGCATGTGTGCCATCATCCAGGCTGGACAGAACCACCCTGCAGAGGCAGCTGCTGGACCTGGTCCCTCACGCTGTGGCTCGGCCAGACCCCGTGATTGTCATCACCTGCCAGGCGCTCCCCACCTGTCTGTCATGTAAGCAATGCCGATGGTCCCACGACCGTGGTCGGCAAACTGCGGCTCTTTGGCCCCTTGAGTGTGGCTCTTCCACAAAACACCACAGCCTGGGCGAGTCTATTTTGAAGAAGTGGCGTTAGAAGAAGTTTAAGTTTAAAAATCTTGGCTCTCCAAAGAAATGTCCATCAACGTTGTGCGGTTGGTATTTGGCTCTGTGGGCTGGTGAGTTTGCCGACCGTGGGCCTACGGCCAAAAGCACGAACCAGCTGGGCCTTCCGAGTGCCACCGCCGCTGGGGGTCCGGTGGTGTGGAACCACACGGAGGGCCTTATTCACGGGCTTATGTGAGGACAAGAGAGACATGGGAGCCGAGACCAGTGTGGCTCAATGGACAGAGCGTCAGCCTGAGGTCTGAAAGGTCCCAGGTTCAATTCCAGTCGAGGGCATGTACCTTGGTTACTGGCACTTCCCTGTTAGGGGGTGTGCAGGAAGCAGCTGATGAATGTTTCTCATTGATGTTTCTAGCTCTCTATCCCTCTTCCTTCCTCTGTAAAAAATCAATTTTATATATATATATATATATATATATATATATATATATATATTAAAGAGACATGGGAGAAATGCAATGACGCCACAGCCCCCCCGCCTCCCCCCAAGCTGGAGGGCAGAGGAAGCAGCAAGGGAAAGCGGAACCCTCCCTCCGCCCCCCCTTCCCGTGCCCGTCGACAGGAGGTGAGATGAATGGAGCCTTGTGAAGTGAAGTGAAAGGTCACACAGCGGCCCTCTCCCGGGAGGGGGGCGGGAGGGGAGATGTGGGGGCTGGACAGAGGAGTCAGATCCCAGAGACAGCGTGACGGGTGAGGGGGCGGCTCCCCGACAGGAGGTTCAAGGTCGGCGCCCTGACTGAGGGCAGTGGAATCTGGAAAGCGATTCCGTGGCTGAGGGAAGCCTTGTGGGGTGTGAGCGTTGTGCCCTGAGCTGGTGGTGGCCACACCCCGTGTGGGGCTCCATACTGAAGGGTGCAGACGTGCGGGCCGGCCTGGCTCAGGGCCGAGCATCGACGTGTGAACCAGGGGGTCACAGTTCGCTTCCTGGTCAGGGCACAGGCCTGGTGTGCGGGCTCCATCCCCGAGATTCTCTCATCATTGATGTTTCTCTCTCTCTCTCTCCCCCACTCCCTTCCTCTCTGATATCGATTAAAAAAATAAAAAGATTTGCAGACTTTCCCACGTCTTAGCCCTCGGGTGGCTGTAACAAAAGGCCACACTCGGGTAGTTTAGACAGACTTGTTGCTCACAATCCTGACACTGGGAAGTCCATGATCAAGGTCCCAGCTGATTCCAATCCTGGAGAGACCTGTTTCGTGGCTGGCAGAGGCTGGCTGCCTTCTGGCTCCGTCTTCCCAGGGTTTGGAGGAGGAGAGTGAGCTCCTTGGAATGTCT